TCGAAGCCACTATGTTTTCTGCACTTGTGACTAGAGAGCACCTTGATAGCTCAGTTGGTAGAGCGGTGGACTGTAAGATGCTCCTTGTGTGAAACGCTTCGTGATCCTAAGGTCGCTGGTTCAACTCCAGCTCGGAAGCACCTCCTTGTCATTGGAAATACCTCCAAGCCTTGTCTTTATCTGTCAACTCCTCCAAAATGTAAAAACACAAACAAGATAACTCTTTCTTAAATTTTCAACCATCAATTTTTTATTCACCCAGCCTAAAAGTCCTGATTATCAGTTCTGGGTCCCTGGCAATGACTGTTGGGTACAAACTGCAAAGCTTTGTTCGTGCAGGTAGGGCTGGGCTTTTCATTGACCATGGGTTGGAATAGTTCTGTGGGCATAGTGTGTTTTCGAAGCCACTATGTTTTCTGCACTTGTGACTAGAGATCACCTTGATAGCTCAGTTGGTAGAGCGGTGGACTGTAAGATGCTCCTTGTGTGAAACGCCGTGATCCTAAGCTCGCTGGTTCAACTCTAGCTCCAAGCACCTCCTTGTCATTGGAAATACCCCCAAGCCTTGTCTTTATCTGTCAACTCCTCCAAAATGTCAAAACACAAAGAAGATAACTCTTTCTTAAATTTTCAACCATCAATTTTTTATTCACCCAGCCTAAAAGTCCTGATTATCAGTTCTGGGTCCCGGGCAATGACTGTTGGGTACAAACTGCAAAGCTTTGTTCTGCAGGTAGGGCTGGGCTTTTCATTGACCATGGGTTGGAATAGTTCTGTGGGCATAGTGTGTCTTCGAAGCCACTATGTTTTCTGCACTTGTGACTAGAGAGCACCTTGATAGCTCAGTTGGTAGAGCGGTGGACTGTAAGATGCTCCTTGTGTGAAACGCCGTGATCCTAAGGTCGCTGGTTCAACTCCAGCTCGAAAGCACCTCCTTGTCATTGGAAATACCCCCCAAGCCTTGTCTTTATCTGTCAACTCCTCCAAAATGTCAAAACACAAAGAAGATTACTCTTTCTTAAATTTTCAACCATCAATTTTTTATTCACCCAGCCTAAAAGTCCTGATTATCAGTTCTGGGTCCCTGGCAATGACTGTTGGGTACAAACTGCAAAGCTTTGTTCTGCAGGTAGGGCTGGGCTTTTCATTGACCATGGGTTGGAATAGTTCTGTGGGCATAGTGTGTCTTCGAAGCCACTATGTTTTCTGCACTTGTGACTAGAGAGCACCTTGATAGCTCAGTTGGTAGAGCGGTGGACTGTAAGATGCTCCTTGTGTGAAACGCCGTGATCCTAAGGTCGCTGGTTCAACTCCAGCTCCAAGCACCTCCTTGTCATTGGAAATACCCCCAAGCCTTGTCTTTATCTGTCAACTCCTCCAAAATGTCAAAACACAAAGAAGATAACTCTTTCTTAAATTTTCAACCATCAATTTTTTATTCACCCAGCCTAAAAGTCCTGATTATCAGTTCTGGGTCCCTGGCAATGACTGTTGGGTACAAACTGCAAAGCTTTGTTCTGCAGGTAGGGCTGGGCTTTTCATTGACCATGGGTTGGAATAGTTCTGTGGGCATAGTGTGTCTTCGAAGCCACTATGTTTTCTGCACTTGTGACTAGAGAACACCTTGATAGCTCAGTTGGTAGAGCGGTGGACTGTAAGATGCTCCTTGTGTGAAACGCCGTGATCCTAAGGTCGCTGGTTCAACTCCAGCTCCAAGCACCTCCTTGTCATTGGAAATACCCCAAAGCCTTGTCTTTATCTGTCAACTCCTCCAAAATGTCAAAACACAAAGAAGATAACTCTTTCTTAAATTTTCAACCATCAATTTTTTATTCACCCAGCCTAAAAGTCCTGATTATCAGTTCTGGGTCCCTGGCAATGACTGTTGGGTACAAACTGCAAAGCTTTGTTCTGCAGGTAGGGCTGGGCTTTTCATTGACCATGGGTTGGAATAGTTCTGTGGGCATAGTGTGTCTTCGAAGCCACTATGTTTTCTGCACTTGTGACTAGAGAGCACCTTGATAGCTCAGTTGGTAGAGCGGTGGACTGTAAGATGCTCCTTGTGTGAAACGCCGTGATCCTAAGGTCGCTGGTTCAACTCCAGCTCCAAGCACCTCCTTGTCATTGGAAATACCCCCAAGCCTTGTCTTTATCTGTCAACTCCTCCAAAATGTCAAAACACAAAGAAGATAACTCTTTCTTAAATTTTCAACCATCAATTTTTTATTCACCCAGCCTAAAAGTCCTGATTATCAGTTCTGGGTCCCTGGCAATGACTGTTGGGTACAAACTGCAAAGCTTTGTTCTGCAGGTAGGGCTGGGCTTTTCATTGACCATGGGTTGGAATAGTTCTGTGGGCATAGTGTGTCTTCGAAGCCACTATGTTTTCTGCACTTGTGACTAGAGAACACCTTGATAGCTCAGTTGGTAGAGCGGTGGACTGTAAGATGCTCCTTGTGTGAAACGCCGTGATCCTAACGTCGCTGGTTCAACTCCAGCTCCAAGCACCTCCTTGTCATTGGAAATACCCCCAAGCCTTGTCTTTATCTGTCAACTCCTCCAAAATGTCAAAACACAAAGAAGATAACTCTTTCTTAAATTTTCAACCATCAATTTTTTATTCACCCAGCCTAAAAGTCCTGATTATCAGTTCTGGGTCCCTGGCAATGACTGTTGGGTACAAACTGCAAAGCTTTGTTCTGCAGGTAGGGCTGGGCTTTTCATTGACCATGGGTTGGAATAGTTCTGTGGGCATAGTGTGTCTTCGAAGCCACTATGTTTTCTGCACTTGTGACTAGAGAGCACCTTGATAGCTCAGTTGGTAGAGCGGTGGACTGTAAGATGCTCCTTGTGTGAAACGCCGTGATCCTAAGGTCGCTGGTTCAACTCCAGCTCCAAGCACCTCCTTGTCATTGGAAATACCCCCAAGCCTTGTCTTTATCTGTCAACTCCTCCAAAATGTCAAAACACAAAGAAGATAACTCTTTCTTAAATTTTCAACCATCAATTTTTTATTCACCCAGCCTAAAAGTCCTGATTATCAGTTCTGGGTCCCTGGCAATGACTGTTGGGTACAAACTGCAAAGCTTTGTTCTGCAGGTAGGGCTGGGCTTTTCATTGACCATGGGTTGGAATAGTTCTGTGGGCATAGTGTGTCTTCGAAGCCACTATGTTTTCTGCACTTGTGACTAGAGAGCACCTTGATAGCTCAGTTGGTAGAGCGGTGGACTGTAAGATGCTCCTTGTGTGAAACGCCGTGATCCTAAGCTCGCTGGTTCAACTCCAGCTCCAAGCACCTCCTTGTCATTGGAAATACCCCCAAGCCTTGTCTTTATCTGTCAACTCCTCCAAAATGTCAAAACACAAAGAAGATAACTCTTTCTTAAATTTTCAACCATCAATTTTTTATTCACTCAGCCTAAAAGTCCTGATTATCAGTTCTGGGTCCCTGGCAATGACTGTTGGGTACAAACTGCAAAGTTTTGTTCTGCAGGTAGGGCTGGGCTTTTCATTGACCATGGGTTGGAATAGTTCTGTGGGCATAGTGTGTCTTCGAAGCCACTATGTTTTCTGCACTTGTGACTAGAGAGCACCTTGATAGCTCAGTTGGTAGAGCGGTGGACTGTAAGATGCTCCTTGTGTGAAACGCTGTGATCCTAAATTCGCTGGTTCAACTCCAGCTCCAAGCACCTCCTTGTCACTGGAAATACCCCCATGCCTTGTCTTTATCTGTCAACTCCTCCAAAATGTCAAAACACAAAGAAGATAACTCTTTCTTAAATTTTCAACCATCAATTTTTTATTCACCCAGCCTAAAAGTCCTGATTATCAGTTCTGGGTCCCTGGCAATGACTGTTGGGTACAAACTGCAAAGCTTTGTTCTGCAGGTAGGGCTGGGCTTTTCATTGACCATGGGTTGGAATAGTTCTGTGGGCATAGTGTGTCTTCGAAGCCACTATGTTTTCTGCACTTGTGACTAGAGAGCACCTTGATAGCTCAGTTGGTAGAGCGGTGGACTGTAAGATGCTCCTTGTGTGAAACGCCGTGATCCTAAGGTCGCTGGTTCAACTCCAGCTCCAAGCACCTCCTTGTCATTGGAAATACCCCCAAGCCTTGTCTTTATCTGTCAACTCCTCCAAAATGTCAAAACACAAAGAAGATAACTCTTTCTTAAATTTTCAACCATCAATTTTTTATTCACCCAGCCTAAAAGTCCTGATTATCAGTTCTGGGTCCCTGGCAATGACTGTTGGGTACAAACTGCAAAGCTTTGTTCTGCAGGTAGGGCTGGGCTTTTCATTGACCATGGGTTGGAATAGTTCTGTGGGCATAGTGTGTCTTCGAAGCCACTCTGTTTTCTGCACTTGTGACTAGAGAGCACCTTGATAGCTCAGTTGGTAGAGCGGTGGACTGTAAGATGCTCCTTGTGTGAAACGCTGTGATCCTAAGGTCGCTGGTTCAACTCCAGCTCCAAGCACCTCCTTGTCATTGGAAATAACCCCAAGCCTTGTCTTTATCTGTCAACTCCTCCAAAATGTCAAAACACAAAGAAGATAACTCTTTCTTAAATTTTCAACCATCATTTTTTTATTCACCCAGCCTAAAAGTCCTGATTATCAGTTCTGGGTCCCTGGCAATGACTGTTGGGTACAAACTGCAAAGCTTTGTTCTGCAGGTAGGGCTGGGCTTTTCATTGACCATGGATTGGAATAGTTCTGTGGGCATAGTGTGTCTTCGAAGCCACTCTGTTTTCTGCACTTGTGACTAGAGATCACCTTGATAGCTCAGTTGGTAGCGCGGTGGACTGTAAGATGCTCCTTGTGTGAAACGCCGTGATCCTAAGGTCGCTGGTTCAACTCCAGCTCCAAGCACCTCCTTGTCATTGGAAATACCTCCAAGCCTTGTCTTTATCTGTCAACTCCTCCAAAATGTCAAAACACAAAGAAGATAACTCTTTCTTAAATTTTCAACCATCATTTTTTTATTCACCCAGCCTAAAAGTCCTGATTATCAGTTCTGGGTCCCTGGCAATGACTGTTGGGTACAAACTGCAAAGCTTTGTTCTGCAGGTAGGGCTGGGCTTTTCATTGACCATGGGTTGGAATAGTTCTGTGGGCATAGTGTGTCTTCGAAGCCACTCTGTTTTCTGCACTTGTGACTAGAGATCACCTTGATAGCTCAGTTGGTAGCGCGGTGGACTGTAAGATGCTCCTTGTGTGAAACGCCGTGATCCTAAGGTCGCTGGTTCAACTCCAGCTCCAAGCACCTCCTTGTCATTGGAAATACCTCCAAGCCTTGTCTTTATCTGTCAACTCCTCCAAAATGTCAAAACACAAAGAAGATAACTCTTTCTTAAATTTTCAACCATCATTTTTTTATTCACCCAGCCTAAAAGTCCTGATTATCAGTTCTGGGTCCCTGGCAATGACTGTTGGGTACAAACTGCAAAGCTTTGTTCTGCAGGTAGGGCTGGGCTTTTCATTGACCATGGGTTGGAATAGTTCTGTGGGCATAGTGTGTCTTCGAAGCCACTCTGTTTTCTGCACTTGTGACTAGAGATCACCTTGATAGCTCAGTTGGTAGCGCGGTGGACTGTAAGATGCTCCTTGTGTGAAACGCCGTGATCCTAAGGTCGCTGGTTCAACTCCAGCTCCAAGCACCTCCTTGTCATTGGAAATACCTCCAAGCCTTGTCTTTATCTGTCAACTCCTCCAAAATGTCAAAACACAAAGAAGATAACTCTTTCTTAAATTTTCAACCATCATTTTTTTATTCACCCAGCCTAAAAGTCCTGATTATCAGTTCTGGGTCCCTGGCAATGACTGTTGGGTACAAACTGCAAAGCTTTGTTCTGCAGGTAGGGCTGGGCTTTTCATTGACCATGGGTTGGAATAGTTCTGTGGGCATAGTGTGTCTTCGAAGCCACTATGTTTTCTGCACTTGTGACTAGAGAGCACCTTGATAGCTCAGTTGGTAGAGCGGTGCACTGTAAGATGCTCCTTGTGTGAAACGCCGTGATCCTAAGGTCGCTGGTTCAACTCCAGCTCCAAGCACCTCCTTGTCATTGGAAATACCCCCAAGCCTTGTCTTTATCTGTCAACTCCTCCAAAATGTCAAAACACAAAGAAGATAACTCTTTCTTAAATTTTCAACCATCAATTTTTTATTCACCCAGCCTAAAAGTCCTGATTATCAGTTCTGGGTCCCTGGCAATGACTGTTGGGTACAAACTGCAAAGCTTTGTTCTGCAGGTAGGGCTGGGCTTTTCATTGACCATGGGTTGGAATAGTTCTGTGGGCATAGTGTGTCTTCGAAGCCACTATGTTTTCTGCACTTGTGACTAGAGAGCACCTTGATAGCTCAGTTGGTAGAGCGGTGGACTGTAAGATGCTCCTTGTGTGAAACGCTGTGATCCTAAGGTCGCTGGTTCAACTCCAGCTCCAAGCACCTCCTTGTCATTGGAAATACCCCCAAGCCTTGTCTTTATCTGTCTACTCCTCCAAAATGTCAAAACACAAAGAAGATAACTCTTTCTTAAATTTTCAACCATCAATTTTTTATTCACCCAGCCTAAAAGTCCTGATTATCAGTTCTGGGTCCCTGGCAATGACTGTTGGGTACAAACTGCAAAGCTTTGTTCTGCAGGTAGGGCTGGGCTTTTCATTGACCATGGGTTGGAATAGTTCTGTGGGCATAGTGTGTCTTCGAAGCCACTATGTTTTCTGCACTTGTGACTAGAGAGCACCTTGATAGCTCAGTTGGTAGAGCGGTGGACTGTAAGATGCTCCTTGTGTGAAACGCCGTGATCCTAAGGTCGCTGGTTCAACTCCAGCTCCAAGCACCTCCTTGTCATTGGAAATACCCCCAAGCCTTGTCTTTATCTGTCAACTCCTCCAAAATGTCAAAACACAAAGAAGATAACTCTTTCTTAAATTTTCAACCATCAATTTTTTATTCACTCAGCCTAAAAGTCCTGATTATCAGTTCTGGGTCCCTGGCAATGACTGTTGGGTACAAACTGCAAAGCTTTGTTCTGCAGGTAGGGCTGGGCTTTTCATTGACCATGGGTTGGAATAGTTCTGTGGGCATAGTGTGTCTTCGAAGCCACTATGTTTTCTGCACTTGTGACTAGAGAGCACCTTGATAGCTCAGTTGGTAGAGCGGTGGACTGTAAGATGCTCCTTGTGTGAAACGCCGTGATCCTAAGGTCGCTGGTTCAACTCCAGCTCCAAGCACCTCCTTGTCATTGGAAATACCCCCAAGCCTTGTCTTTATCTGTCAACTCCTCCAAAATGTCAAAACACAAAGAAGATAACTCTTTCTTAAATTTTCAACCATCAATTTTTTATTCACCCAGCCTAAAAGTCCTGATTATCAGTTCTGGGTCCCTGGCAATGACTGTTGGGTACAAACTGCAAAGCTTTGTTCTGCAGGTAGGGCTGGGCTTTTCATTGACCATGGGTTGGAATAGTTCTGTGGGCATAGTGTGTCTTCGAAGCCACTATGTTTTCTGCACTTGTGACTAGAGAGCACCTTGATAGCTCAGTTGGTAGAGCGGTGGACTGTAAGATGCTCCTTGTGTGAAACGCCGTGATCCTAAGGTCGCTGGTTCAACTCCAGCACCAAGCACCTCCTTGTCATTGGAAATACCCCCAAGCCTTGTCTTTATCTGTCAACTCCTCCAAAATGTCAAAACACAAAGAAGAAAACTCTTTCTTAAATTTTCAACCATCAATTTTTTATTCACCCAGCCTAAAAGTCCTGATTATCAGTTCTGGGTCCCTGGCAATGACTGTTGGGTACAAACTGCAAAGCTTTGTTCTGCAGGTAGGGCTGGGCTTTTCATTGACCATGGGTTGGAATAGTTCTGTGGGCATAGTGTGTCTTCGAAGCCACTCTGTTTTCTGCACTTGTGACTAGAGATCACCTTGATAGCTCAGTTGGTAGAGCGGTGGACTGTAAGATGCTCCTTGTGTGAAACGCCGTGATCCTAAGCTCGCTGGTTCAACTCCAGCTCCAAGCACCTCCTTGTCATTGGAAATACCCCCAAGCCTTGTCTTTATCTGTCAACTCCTCCAAAATGTCAAAACACAAAGAAGATAACTCTTTCCTAAATTTTCAACCATCAATTTTTTATTCACTCAGCCTAAAAGTCCTGATTATCAGTTCTGGGTCCCTGGCAATGACTGTTGGGTACAAACTGCAAAGTTTTGTTCTGCAGGTAGGGCTGGGCTTTTCATTGACCATGGGTTGGAATAGTTCTGTGGGCATAGTGTGTCTTCGAAGCCACTATGTTTTCTGCACTTGTGACTAGAGAGCACCTTGATAGCTCAGTTGGTAGAGCGGTGGACTGTAAGATGCTCCTTGTGTGAAACGCCGTGATCCTAAGCTCGCTGGTTCAACTCCAGCTCCAAGCACCTCCTTGTCACTGGAAATACCCCCAAGCCTTGTCTTTATCTGTCAACTCCTCCAATATGTCAGAACACAAAGAAGATATCTCTTTCTTAAATTTTCAACCATCAATTTTTTATTCACTCAGCCTAAAAGTCCTGATTATCAGTTCTGGGTCCCTGGCAATGACTGTTGGGTACAAACTGCAAAGCTTTGTTCTGCAGGTAGGGCTGGGCTTTTCATTGACCATGGGTTGGAATAGTTCTGTGGGCATAGTGTGTCTTCGAAGCCACTATGTTTTCTGCACTTGTGACAAAAGAGCACCTTGATAGCTCAGTTGGTAGAGCGGTGGACTGTAAGATGCTCCTTGTGTGAAACGCTGTGATCCTAAGGTCGCTGGTTCAACTCCAGCTCCAAGCACCTCCTTGTCATTGGAAATAACCCCAAGCCTTGTCTTTATCTGTCAACTCCTCCAAAATGTCAAAACACAAAGAAGATAACTCTTTCTTAAATTTTCAACCATCAATTTTTTATTCACCCAGCCTAAAAGTCCTGATTATCAGTTCTGGGTCCCTGGCAATGACTGTTGGGTACAAACTGCAAAGCTTTGTTCTGCAGGTAGGGCTGGGCTTTTCATTGACCATGGGTTGGAATAGTTCTGTGGGCATAGTGTGTCTTCGAAGCCACTCTGTTCTCTGCACTTGTGACTAGAGAGCACCTTGATAGCTCAGTTGGTAGAGCGGTGGACTGTAAGATGCTCCTTGTGTGAAACGCTGTGATCCTAAGGTTGCTGGTTCAACTCCAGCTCCAAGCACCTCCTTGTCATTGGAAATAACCCCAAGCCTTGTCTTTATCTGTCAACTCCTCCAAAATGTCAAAACACAAAGAAGATAACTCTTTCTTAAATTTTCAACCATCAATTTTTTATTCACTCAGCCTAAAAGTCCTGATTATCAGTTCTGGGTCCCTGGCAATGACTGTTGGGTACAAACTGCAAAGCTTTGTTCTGCAGGTAGGGCTGGGCTTTTCATTGACCATGGGTTGGAATAGTTCTGTGGGCATAGTGTGTCTTCGAAGCCACTATGTTTTCTGCACTTGTGACTAGAGAGCACCTTGATAGCTCAGTTGGTAGAGCGG